CATGTGTGTGTGTGTGTAAGTGCGTGCACAGTGTGTCTGCTACAGGAATCTGTACAAAACAAATATCTGCCTAATATACAGCAATCAGCTTTTAAAGATCATATTTGGCCTCCAGTTCAGAGCCAGAAAGAAATGGTGATAGTGCCCCTCACTCTCTTTCCCAGAGATTTTAATTCTGAATTCGCTTTCCATTACTGGAACGCATCTCCAGTTATATAATGAAAGTCAATCAATGAGAAAACATGATTCATGTTTTGGTTTTTTATTTTATAGACGTGTATTTTCGAACATTTTACTTAAGCCAGCCGGGTGTAATATTGTAAGTTAGTTTTGCTTTGTTCTTAACATTTAGGCAAATTTATTGATTTCCACATCTGTATCTTAGTTAATTTTTCTCAATTTTGGTAAGAAAACCAGTCAATCAAATCGCTTCTATCACCCGCCCACAGGTGGTGTTGCTTGACGAATGTTCGCAGATGACCGAACCGCTCTCACTACTCCCAATCGCTCCTTTCCACTGTCGAAAACTGGTCCTCGTTGGCGACCCTAAGGTAAGCACTTGCTAGCACACGATACTTGTATCGAAACCAAGTGGACATTACATTGCAGTTTGATTATCATTTAATGAAACCTAACCTAGCAATTAGTAAAGTATTCACCAATAAAACCAGTTAGCACTGGGATGGCGTACGTCTAATTCCGTGTAACAGTTACCAGCCATATCTGCTACTTGTTCCTTTATTTACTCCTTTTTGTTCAGTTACTTGCTGAGGTAAAGCTTGGCTCGAGCTTGAGCTTACCTTTTACCTCAAACGTACCTTAATGATGACATGCCTAGCTAGCACGACTCCGCACATGTCAACCTCTTAACTACTTACTAACTTGATCAGAGCGAAGTAGTAGTAGTAAGAAATATGGTGTTTTTGAGCTTAGTATAATATATAATAATAACAAGAGTACATAATGGGAGAAGAGTATGACACTGTTTTAACAGCGTTTTGCGTAGTTTTTAACTTGAATTTATTCTATCAATATGTGAATAAATATATTCAAACTTTACCTTGTTTTCGTCTCGGATTCTCCCTTAATCATATGACACCACCAGTTTACCTGAAAATCGTATGTGTTCTTCAAAAAAGTT